TCTTGATGAAGATAATACCACCCTTAGAAGTTAGTCGATTTCTTTAACTTAAAAACCCTAATTTGAGGTACCTTTCTTCAAAAACCTGAATTCCTGGAAACTTTTTGAAACAAAAGCAATATATACACAACTATCAACAAAAGTGAGGGTTAGATACCAAGAAATATTCACAAGCCAATAAAACAAGCACTAACAAGAGGATTCATCTGACCCACCACTATCCTCCTAGCTTGTGATCTCAAACTTTTCTTGAATTAACTCATGAGTGAATGCATGATTTGGTATCATGATGAATGAAAACTTAGGGGTAAAAATGGGGTTATGACACCACGCTCTACTAGGTTGCTCTTGTACTCTTAGAATTTTTGTTGAGTATTTGTTGTGCACTTTCGTGTTCGTTATGCTGACACTTTGATTTCCTGTTTGTTTCAGGTAAGATGGTTGGATCCTCTGATGGCGTCAGAAGAGGTGCCGCTAAGCAGACCAAGAGAGAAAAAGTTTCCCATAATAAGGGGAACATTGGCTCTAGTCGTCCTTCTAGAGGTTTGAGGACGGATTCGACTCCCACCATTTTGCCGCTAACGGGGGGGAGTTCTCGGGCTCTGAAACGCCAAAGGGTTGACGGGGGTACCGTTAAGGTCGTCCGTGAGACCAGGGAAGCATGAAGTAGCATTATTCCGACCTACTTTATCCAAAGGAATCTGTTCGAGATTGGGACCACTCTGACTATTCCTCGAGCCGAGGTGCAAAGTTATAGGAACCTGGCTGAGGGGTCTAGGAAGGCCAGTTTAGCTAGGGATGTCGCCGGGGCGATAAGAGTCTTGGAGGTGGTCTTTATGGCGACTGATGGAACCCTTCTTACTGAGGAGAGGGAGCATAGTCAGTTGGAGAGGACATAGCTTCCATCCAAGATAGACTTGGAGAAGAAGCGGGAAGATACCCTGGAGGGGCAGGTTGCCCAGCTGTCAAAGGATCCCGAGGATATGAAGGTAGGCAAGGATGAGGAGGTTGCTCGACTCACTGCTCAGATAACTCGTGCAGATGAGGAATAGGAAGACATGAAGATGTTCAATTCGTGGGCTGAATTGGTCGCCAAGATCATAGTCCTCGAAGAGGAATTGGTCAAGGCGGCGTGAGAATCGTTTGAGAATATCATGGAGCAATTGTTCGTTTTGAATCCTGGCTTGGTGACACATTGGGAGTGATTACCTGTGGTCCGTGGTGGATGGGCAGATGGTCGAGTCGACCCCTAGAACTGAAGAGTTACCCAAAATGGCATCATATCCCCGCTCTCAGAAGAACGGCTGGAGGAACCTTTGTCGACCGAAGGTGATGGCCAAGATTGATGATGAATTTCTTTCCTATTTTGTTGTATTGCTGACATGCATGCCATAAACTTATAGTTTGATAATTGGTGCCTATTAGGGAGGTGGTCACCATTGCAAACAACCACAAGACAATTTTGACCTTGAGGTCGTGTTAATGTTAATCAATGTATAATTAGCTCGTAATTTGCTTTCGAATCTACACATAATATAACTCTGCATGAAAATATAGCTTGTTAGATATTTCATTAAGTATATAGAAGTGTGATCCTTGTACAAATGTGTCGGCTAATGGGATCTCAAAATATGCCCACTGGGGGTATAACATAGGCACGCGAAGGTGCTCGTCTGCGAGGGACAATAGAGATACTCGCTAAGGAGCTTAGTAGCTGGGAACATTGGGTTGCACGTGATGGTGCTTGCCTGCTGGGGTCTTGTCCGCTGGGGACGTATACTCGGGCACGTGGTGGTGCACACTTGCTTTGGAGATCATCCACTGGGGACATCTGTTAGCACTTGGTGGTTCCCGCTCATTGTGGAGCTCGTCCGCTGAGGACGTCTGTTTGGCACGTGGTGGTGCTTGCCCGTTGGGGGCTTGTCACCTGGGGACGTATATTCGGGCACGTGGTGGTGCATGCTTGTTTTGGAGATCGTCCACTGGGGACATATTTTGGGCACGTGGTGGTGTCTGCTCGTTGTCGAGCTCGTCGGCTAAGGGCGTCTGTTTGGCACGTGGTGGTGCTGGCCCGCTGGGGGCTCGTCTGTTGGAGAAGTATATTTAGGCACATGGTGGTGCACACTCACTTTGGAGCTTTTCTGTTGGGGACGTCTGTTTGGCACGTGGTCGTGCCCGCTCACTGTGGAGCTCGTCCACTGAGTACGTTTGTTCGGCATGTGGTGGTGCACGTAACAGGATGATACGGGCGAGGGCCGGTGACAAGAGAAATGATAGAATATATCTTATCTTTTTGTGAAGGGAGAGATCTACTCGAAAGATATATGGTCGGCCATTGTAGAAACTAGGCGAAGAACCCGAGACAAGCCAGGCTCAGTTATGAAGTCAAGACCCGTTGTCTAATGGTCCCGGCCTCAAGAACAAGAACACCCATCACGAGCTGGGGTTTTTCTTATATGGGTACAAAAGTCGGAGAAGCCCATTATAGGGTCCCCCGCCTGTTCGAGTCTAGCTCGTTTACTAAGTTGATCCTCTTCGTCTCGTAAAGTCTACAAGACCTGCTATACCATGACATGTGTGGGTATTCAGTAACCCCTCGTGTTAATTACAAAGTGGGCCAAAGACAATGCTATTTGGTTGTTTGATATTTGTTTAACTTCTCAGCGTTTTATAGTCGAGTGATTTGTTTCCCTTGCAGATTTTTGGAGGAAGTTGACCCCCATGTTCCAGTCTCATCGAGCGCGTGAAAATGGTCTTTCCAGTAGGCAACAAACATGTCCCTGAGAGTCTTTATGACTTCATTAGAGGGCGAGGTTGTTAATGGTGGACTCACGTGGTATGATCCCAGGATCATAACGGAGTTTAGTGGTTTTAGGGTAGCTTCTCGAGGGGAATCCCTCGAGCGTACCTCCTTGACTAGGTCGAGTTATTTTAAGATGGAAGCATCATTCATCTCCTTGTCAAGAGGTGCATCCGCTCGGCGGGATGGCTTTCTGACTTAGACAGGGATGACGAATTTTGTTTCGTAAGCACGTTTGAAAGGGTTTTCCCCCCGTGATCGAATGAAGAGTTGTTTGATAGGTCCAGAGTATGTTGTGTAGCTCTTTGACCTATACTTTCTTGACCTTGTCTAAACTTCATCTGATCTCCCACAATATGAACCTGTTCACAGCTTATGCCTACCTGTTAGTCTGAGGATGCTCGATCGAGGCGTAATTCTGGATGGTTCCGAGCATGGTGACCCATTCGTGGAGGTCTTTGTCAGTGAACTGGGTACCGTGTCGGTCACGATTTCTTGGGGAATTTCGAGACGAGCTAAGACGTTTTGGTCCAAAAGTTTACTTTGACTATGGTGTTGAACTAGTGTCGAGGATTTGACCTTGCACTTGGACGAGGAAGCACATCTTGGATGACGGATTTGTTCCCTCCTTTAGTGCTAACTAATTTGGCAAGGAGGTCCGCTCCGGTTTTCTGTTCGCGGAGAACATGCTCAACGTTACGTGAAAGTTTTTAGGGCTCGCAATCTTGTTGGGAGCCAGGGTCTAGAATACTTGAAGGCGTTTACCTGGAACTCCCCCATACCCGGAATGCAACGAGTCTGGAGTATGAACTGATGGTTTTCTCCGTGACACCTGTACCCGGTGAATGAGGTCTCTGGCCTTTATACGTTTGACGTGTGTTTCTCATTTGGGGAAAGTCATAGTCTGGCTGGAGAGCTTTGCCTTGTTCCTCGTCTGGATGGGAACCCTGACCTTTTTAGGTTTGGCGGGAATCCCCCATTCGAGAGAGGAGCTATCCGGGTTGATTGTCCTTGCAGTGGGAGGACCTTTTGGTGCTGGGAATTTCTGATTTACTGAGTGGCTTTCTTCTCCTCATATCAGATGAATTTGTTTACGGTGCATAGGAGGTCGTTAAGCGATGGGGGAGAGTCTCGACTGATTACTCTGGTGAATCCGTTTCGGCGATAGAGTCCTTTCTACAGTAGATGTTTCTCCCTTCCGTCCATCGTGTTGACGTGGACAGGGACCTCTTTGGATCTCTGCAGAATGTCTGAGGGATTTATGCTACCACAGACGATAGCTACGAGGGAGGCCTCTATCTTTGGTTGCCTTCGCGAGGAGGTGGGTAGGTTGGAAAACATTATCTCCGTCTGCCCCCAAGACCTGATTAAGGCATGAGGGAGACTTTTTGGACCAAGTCATGAAGGTCTTCCACAGTGTGGTCAGGAAGAGTATGCATGTGATGGCCCCCGGGACGCTTTGATAATCCAGGTGGGCATCTATGTTCTCCAGATGGTCGTTTGAATCAGATGAACCATCATAGAGCCCTTTGATTGGGGGTTTCTCTAGCCCATAACGTGATCGGGCATGCATTATTTCCCTGGACATTAGTCCATGGTTGTCTTCATCATCACTGCTCAACTCCGGAGACGTGGAGAGGGAGTAAAGGGGTCCCCAAAGAATGGGATTTTAGGGAGGAGTATTCTTCCTCGGTCGACGTCCCGATCTGCGATAAGGGACTGGGGTCAAGGAGAACGATGATCCCTCCGGGGAGGTGATTGGTCCTTCTGGCAACATTGATTATCACTAGAATCTTAGGGTTTTTCATGACAAGCGATTCATCATTGAGTGGGACTGCGAGAGTCTAGTCTTAGGACGTTCCGAGAAGAGTCCATGACGTGGATGGCTTTTTCCGCGACGATCCACCTGACGTCCACCGAATGGGCCAGGGTGTTGGATCAGTCTAGGCCTTCCAAGAGCATCTTAATCGATGGGTCGATGCCAGGAGGAATCAGAATAGGCTGGTAAATAGATATTCACCGTTGTTCCTCGATGGAGATATCAAAACTTCGGACCAGGTGGTCGCTGGTGAGATGAGTCATCCGCGATAGTGAATGACGGTCGACATGGTGTCGAGCATGATCTTCAACGTGATTGTTGATGAAATTGTACCCTGCTTGGCTCAAGAAAATGATATTTATTTAGGCCAGAGGGTTGTACATGAAAACTTTCGTTAGATCAACCATCTTAGAAGAGAGAAATGCTTTGGTCGTTCGCAAACTGATGAAGAAGGTAAGACGGGATAACAAAGTTCCCACATACGACGCCATTGATTGTGTCCGACTAGAAATTTGGATGGTTTATCCTTCAAAGGGTATTCTGGAGAAGGTATGTCCAACCTATTTGTCAACAAGATATGGGGGGACACCTGTAAAAGAGCCTCTGATGCCAAAGTCAACGAAAGGAGGAAGAGGTACCGAGCAGAATACTAGGTTTCTCTTGGAGGTGAAAGTAGAATCATGTTTAGGATTCAGAATAAGATTCCTGACCCTCATTCTATGAGGGTATATATAATGATCACCAGCGTGTGGTCCATGATTCCTATTTTAGGGTCGTGTAAGACAGGCCCGCAAAGATAGGAAATGTCAGGTACTAGTCGTTATATTAGGTCAAGGTCGAGCGGACCAGACCGTTGGCTGAGCAGGGCTAATCGATAGCTTTCCCTCTGTGTCGGGCAGGACGAGCTCATGAGCAGGCGTGATTCGTTAGTCCCTGAATATGAGGAGGACGAGCAGGATGAAGATCCTACCCGGGGAAGTGCTTTCCCAGTAGAATGCAGACTTGTCCCTTTGGAAGGCCTATTTGGACCGAGCCAAGTTAATTGGGCTGTTCTGATTGCAGAAGCGGATTGGCCCGTATGAATCCATTCGGCCAGTCCAAAACAAAATTAAACTTGCAAGGAAAACAAAGAAGATTAATGAAGGGAAACATGCAAAAAAAGTGAAAAGAGAACTCAAAGTAATCCTACTGTTTGTTAATTTTTAATCTCAAACATAGAAGCTTCAAATTCAGAAACTCCTAAAAGATGAGTTGTTCTAAATTAAATAAGGAATTCTAATGATTTTTTCCAAAATTTTAGAAAATGTTTAGCTTCAGGTTTGAGATCAAATACCAACAACACCCATAAAATACAAGCACAATTAGGCAAGTAACAACGATGTAATGAATTGAGCAAGCTAAGAGCTTCAAGCACATAATTTTTTTTAAGATGAAATGTTTATTATAATGTCCTATAGCAGCCTACCAAATTTCACATCAAAATTCAAAACACAACTAAAAATATGGGCAAAACAAGTTGACTAGGTTTGACGAAACCTCAAGAATACAAGGTAGAAACAAATGCAAACAAACATAAAGTTAAAAGCATTCAAAGCTCAACTAAATAATAGAACACCCTTCTAAGGAGTAGGGACTTAAGTTCAATCAATAAACTCAAATAAAAGAAGAATGGATGAACAAGGTGAGGGAAAACCTACACCTGGTATTATTTAGAATCCACAATTAAGCACACTTATGTAATCAAAGTGAAAAACAACTCAAGCATTAAGGTAAAGACCAAAGAAAAGTATTTTTAGGTTTATTTGCTTCTTATTCAAGTAATCAAAATTATAAAACAAGTGGAAACTCGGGCTATAATGATATATACACTCAAACATTCACAAAAAGCAAAGATAAGACTCAAATCAAGCAAACTGCTTGTCCATTTTTAAACTCCAGTAAGGGAACTTCAAATACAAAAAAAAATGGAATTTGAAATTCTCCTAAATTAGTAAGTAACTTCCTTGATTTTTTTAGAATTTTACAAAAAAATATACTTCCATTTTGGGGTCCAAAATCAAACAGCACACATAAAAGAAAGCAAATTGAGAAAGTATGAACAATTGAGGTATAAAACCAAGATATGAACACACAATTCAGGGATTGAAGACATTTTATGATTCATTTGGATGTTAAGGGTTAGTTTATCAAGTTTCATCCATAAATTATGTACCAAATTAAAATTAGAAGCAAAATGGTAGGCACGCTCATGGAAACCCTAATACATGTATCACAATCAAACATATGACTACATAAGTATCAAAACCAAACAATCAATGATCAAGCAATACACTATATACCTTCTAATGAGGTCAGGGACCTAACCAAGTCATGAATTTCAAAATAAAGGCAAAAGTGATAAACAAATGGGGGATGGACATCCACCCGATATTCAAAACCCTAATTGGGCATACAAGGAAACAAGCCATGTAAAAGCAATCAAACTTGAGAATTAAAAAGGAAAGTAATGCACAAATGTTTCTATCTACCTCCTAATATATCTATGGAATCTTTTATAGGGACTTATGCTTCAAAATAACCCTAAAAGTCCATGATAGACAACGAGGATGAACTAAAACCAAAAGAAATCACATGTTTTAAAGGCAAAAATGATTTTTAAAACCAAACTCTATGAAGATTCAAACCATGGATTGATCATCATTGAATTATATAGAAATCAAGGTATGTATGCAAGAAAAAGTGACCTCTAATTCCAATAATGGATTAGGGTTACTTAGGATGCAAGAAAAGGACCTTTAGTACACTTTACACTAGAGGTACCTTAAAATCTCAACAAATCAGAAAATGCATCAAAGTAACCCTACTTAAAATGATTAAATAGGGCTACACAAATTTTATCATATTTTTCCATTATATTTTGGTATTTTAAACAATTATTGAAAGTGAAAAAACAATCATAAAAAGGAAATTACACTAAAAATCAAGGAAGTATGTAAAAAATATGCAACCAATTTACAAAAATCACAAAAATTCTCAAGATTCCAGAAATTTAACTTTTGTTCCTCAATTCCTTATGTATAATTATTTATAGATTTCTACATTTTTGTTAAAAAATAAATTAAAAATAAATGTCAAAATTAAAAGTACTCAAAAAAATGTGGAAAAATCATCATTATATTCAGAAAAATATTTTGGAATTTAAATTCAACTAGAATAAAAATCAATTCTCAACAAATTTATATTTATGGATTTTATAAGTTTTAAAGGAAATTAAAAATGATTTTTAAACAATTATGAAAATAAGAGAGAAAGAGGATTCATCGTGCCATGTTCCACATACACTCCCCTCATCCAACGGCCATCCACACCTCATTCATTGAGGTGGCACCTTGGACTATTTAGATTTCAAGGAAACCAAATCATACAAACCATTGGATCAAGTTGACAAAAAAACATAATGATTTAAAGGTTAATAAGGTGACACACATGCAAGCTCAGATTAACACTCACACACATTAACACTCGGCCAAGAAAACATTTGAAAATAAGTGTTGTCAACCAGGATTGGCCAATTCAAATATTGCGCACCCTATTCTTCCTCTTCTTCTTCTTCTTCCTCACCACACTCAAAATTTCAGAAAATTGAAGCTACTAAACTGAATCAGCTGGAGTTCACCATGTTAGGGTTTTTGTTTTATGGATGAAGACGAGGCTAACCACATATCACAAATTTATGTAACCTGTTGATCAAGAAAACCTAAACCCTAATTCACACTGTGCTAACACATATTTTAATTTAAAGCATTAAAATGCGATTAACACACATATTCATATTCAGTGTGTCATAACCCCATTTTACCCCTAAGATTTAATTCATCGTGATACTTATTCATTCATTCATTCATGTATCAAATTCAAGAAAATGAGATCAAAAGTTAGGAGGTCATTGATTGATCAGATGGATTCTTCTCTTGGTGCTTGCTGTAACACCCAAATTTCTACCCCGAAAATTTCGATTAAATAAATTCTAATATCAGAGTGCAACAATTAAAAGGATACGATTCAGGTTTTACTCAAACATTTTCACAAAACCTTCTTTTATTAAATTAGAATATAAAAGAGTTTATAACAGAATTTCATCAATTCGGCGGAAGACATTTCAATTAGAAAATACATTTTTCAATTAATCTCAACCAGAGATATACAAATAAAGACACCCCATAACAGACCCTAAGTGTTACGACCAGAGCATATTTTCCGGACCCAATTGGAAGACTCCACTTCCAAACACGAAGCAACCTCAACTAATACATGCCCGTTATCCATAAGTGGATAACGATAAACCACAGAAATAAGGGGTGAGATATCATCCACAATTAATAACAGGTATAAAAGTACACATATTAGATAAATAAGCACTGAGCATTATCTCACAAGTTGCTACACAAATAATCAAGGCACATATTCGAGCATCCACTACCGGAAGCATCACACGACATTTAGCATAGTAAAGCATATTCACTTACAAAGGATATTCTCACATTCCAGGTACATTAACCACTTATCCACACAGGACAAGTATCTCCAAGCACGTAGTCACACTAAGGTAAAATACTAAACATATTACATGTAATCTAATTCATACATATTTCTCAGCACTTAGCATGCAAACGTACATAATCTTATCAATTTCATTACATGTACTATTCCATGGGAACATGTGTATTATAAACAACAAGATCACACCATGTTTAGTTCATCAAGGTATACTCACATACATATTGATGTTCACACTGTTCCATATATTCATCACCACTCAGGTACAACAAAAATACTTCAAGTATTCATTCCAAACCAAAACATCACATCGAGCATGCATTAACACGGACAATGCATCAATACAAATAAAACACAAAATTATGCAATGATATCCTAGACCCATATGCATGTGGTACCGATATCACCAATCTGGAAAGCTCAGGTTCCAACTCACCTCCCACCCATGAAATTTGTTAACAGAGCCCCACCTCACCACATAGGTGGACCATTCCATCGCAATGGATGTGGACTTTATGACCACACAGGTCCCACTGACCACACAGGTCCCACTGACCACTCAGGTCTATTTACCACACAGGATGCACATGAAATGAATAACATATGACTCAATTGTATGACGTGCATCAACCATTAACCACAAGCATACTCAAATAAATCCAAACATTATTTGATGGCATTCCCATTTGAAACATCACACAGATCGTTTCCAATTAACTCATGCAACATACCACTCCAAAGAATAGATGCCATTTGATTCGCAATCCAATCATAAACAAACATCACATATTGAAAGCCCATACAATCAAGTACATAATGTTCATTTACCAAATTCAACCAACTATGCTCACAACCAAGCAACTAACACAATTACATGCATTATATCACATAACATGGCATAAGGATCATTTACGGCACACATTCATAGTTCTCACTTATAATGGCAAGCATATCTACAAACTACCAAAATACTTCCAATCCATACTCAACAACATACTATGAAAATTATATAATGGAATCATAATATTAACATACACCATTACTAAGGATACATGTCATATATTTCATATTCTAACCACACATTCATTTACAATTTCACATACATGTATTCCTCATCAATCTAGAAGACACATTTTTGTACACACACATCATTACCTAACAACGAACATAACATAGTGTGAATGTCCATACAAACACACTACATCACGTCCGATAAGCAACATGCGCAAGTACACAATATCAAAGCAATGCGTCCATCATTAAACTCTAGGATTCACGCCCAGCGGCTACCCACAGACACAGGTCTTAATAGCAGTATAACATTTCCAAAGAACACATGTCATTTAATTCATATTCCAAACATAAACAACCATCACATAAGTGAAAGCTCATACAATCAATTACGCTATGTTTATTCACATAACCAACCAGTTCATCCACATTAGTTATAACGAAAAAAATCACACATGTATACACAGTACAACACTTAGCATGAATTAATATCACTCAAAACACATACCATGGTTTCACATTTACCACATCAAACAATTAATCATATCCTTCAAGCACTCCCATATGCATTAAAATTACATCATTTAATTATATAACAGAAGGAGATATGATTATTACACATCTACACATTCATTCCAAGTCACGAAGAAAATTAATTAATTCTGGATGCTACAGTTTGCGGCGCAAACACTAGTTCGAGGCGCCATCTCAGAAAAACTACGGTTCGCGGCGCCAACAGGGGGACGCGGCGCGAATTTGCGAGACAAAACTTCTCTGTTACGCTCTGTTACAACACTTGTCCCAATTTGAGATACTCAATTCAACTCAGCAGCAACAGGTATCACATATGAAGTATACAGACACATACATGTTTTCTCACAAACATAAAATCATTAACAAATAGAATCTAATAGAGAGTTAGGGACACATTCTTCTAACTTCCTAGTTCATTATTCAAGCTCAATAGGAGCTTCAAGGTACATCAATGGCATCCTACATCATTTGACAGCAAGATGAAGATAAACACACACCACCCAAACCTAATTCTATGTAAATTCATACCCATAATTAATTGAAGAGAACCCCGCCCTTACCTTGGCTAGAGTTCGATTTCCATGGCAGCTGAGCTTCTTCTTCCCTCTCCCATCCTAGGGCAGCCTCCTCTTCTTAGTTCTCCCTCTCTCTGAGTCTTTCTCCAAAAGTAAATCGTAAAATCCTTATTCTCTCTTTCCCTCTCTTTTATTTCCAACTTAAGGGATACCTACCTTTAACCAGCCCCACAAACACACATAGCACAATTAAGCCAGACATCACACACAACCAAATTATAAGAATTCGAGCAAACATAGCACAAGCACCTAACGCACCAAAATTAATTAATTAAATCAAGAATTATGAAATCGGGGGTGTTACAACTCTCCCCCCCACTTAGAACATTTTCGTCCTCGAAAATTCTCCTAACAAAACCAACACACAATCACCGAGATGCCAACCCGCATAACGTATCATATATAACATATACCAAACAATTCATCACTCCACAAAGGTTAACATATAACACTCATCATATAGACATCATGTCATCATACAATCAAACACAAGGACCTTCCATTAATCTCCCCACTCAGGGCACAAAAGCAGCTTCAAACAATGAACTCCGTTGCTCTCACCCTTTCAGGCACAACGGCAGCTCCACAACCAATTACACAACAAAGTAACAACAGTCATATACAATCATCCCAGAACATACTTAATACGGAAAATACAATCAATATTAGCATACCAGCTACGACACAAGGAGATAGACAGACCAGTCTCAAGACATGCATACTAATGCCGCCCAATGCACATGTTATACACACATAACACATATTCACATATACATACATGTATCACATAAACAACATGCATGACTCCACAACAACAATTATTTTAACAACGCACCAGAAAACAAAAATCATCCAAATACTATTCCAACATCCACCCACACAGATAACACGGTTCTTACTCTACCAAACCTCTAACACAGAATTCCTTGATGCACAAACCATCCTTAACATCTCTCACCGGTTCCTTCTTAACTGAAAACTCTGATTAATACAACCAAAAGCAAGAACACCTCTTACAACATATCTGCATTACAATGCCGCTATCAATTCCAGAAACTCAAGTTACCCCTTGTCAGTTGACTTACTCGACTATATCCAAATCTTTACCAATTAATTTCTTATAGAGTCCAACAATCACATACTCTTGCGAATCCAAAGTCCCATCTCTTACTCATACCAATCACACCAGTCCTTATACACAACTCCGCATTCTGGTCTCGCTGTGCTACTATGATCATTTTTCTCAAAGGCTTGCTGCCGATTTAACGTGGCAGTCCCGTTACTCAATTTCACAATACTCGTCCGCACTCGACACCAATTTCCAGATTCTCTCATCCCGGTATGACACTGTGACTCTTGCATGAATTCTCCACAAGCTCTAGTGATTAATACACTTTCCTAATACACTTCTTGCCAAAGAATAATCCAAACCAAATCTTACTCTCTAAGTGAAAGTGAAACCAACTATATCCTTCCTTGCTAACTCTTCCGAAGTTAATAATTACTTTATCTGATGTCATCACGACATCCCGAGTTTTCAAACCAAGAGTTAAGGCCTACGCATCCCTAATTACTCACACAACCACCACTAGTGCTCCCTCTGGAGTGACCCAATTCTCCTTTCGCAATCTACCGTTACCAAGCATTACGACATTAACACATCTAATCCACATCCTTAAATCCTTTGACGAGAAACATAACAGATAGCAACACGCTTTGGTGTCCAAACCAAAATCCTTATCAAATCCATAGTCTAACTTTTTCCTCTCAAAGGAGTTCTTTAAATCGGATACTCTCCGACAAGTAGTCTTTCTTATCACTCTTCTCAGGTAGCAGACATATGCTCATAACATTATTCTCAAAACCTCGCGATTGAATCTTCCGAGCTTAGCCTCTCTCAATCCTTATTGACATTCGTCGAGTTTCCTCATCAACTTGTAATCAGTCCACCACTGCTATATCATCCAAGCTTCCTACTCAATTATTGAAATCCCTCTGATTAAAAATCCACACTCAGACCATGTAGCATGAGCTACTCTTGCCTCGACATTTGCAACCTTAACCATTTGTATCTGGTATCGCCTTTATCTTATTCGTGCCAACTACGGTTACCAACAAAATCCCATAAACACCTTGGGTTTACCAAATGTTACTCTTTGTATCCACTTGTACTGACCAAACTAAATCATAAAATCCTACTTAAATGTCCATGATAGAGTTCTCATCCAAGTTCGTCTTGCCCAACACAACCTTTTCCTATCTGTTAATTGTTCCACGACCCCATTCTGAAAACAAGTGTCGACTTCCAATCGACATTTTATCCAGCTAAATCCAACTCGTATACTAACTCGTAATCTCATCCATTTCTCGGCCATTTACATTTCGGGTCACCCAAATCAACAATATCGGCTTTATTAATCCACATCTTAACTTATCCTGTGATCACCTTTCCTGGATTGCCACTTCAGCGCAATACTCGGCACGGCATCAAGAATCCTTCCTCAAAACAAGACTTAACGGAATTTCCGCCCTCTGTTACTCCAGATGCAACAGTTAAAGACCGTGTTGAACCGTCCTTTGAATATCCACATTTTACTACAACCTCAGAATCATTACCTTTATGTTATCAAGACCAAAAATCCAAAGAGTTCTCTTTCTTATCTGATACTAAGCTCTCCTCTGAGTTCCATTAAGTCCAAATCCACGTATCTGAGATCCGCCCAATTTCCAAATGATACCTTGGTACTTACACCTTCAACACAACACTAGCTTCACAGTGTTATTTATTCATGTTTAACGACAACGCTCCGAGTCTTCTCTTCAAGTCACCTCGAGTACAATTGTTACCAAGAATACTGGGTTGCGCATTCCTCTAAGTCGTTCACGATCCCTTGGCCCATAATGAGTATCCAACTCAAAGCTTCTCATTCCCACACACATACTAACAAGTTGAAAACGATACATCTACCCATCCATTTCAATTCCAACTACTATAGACAACACATCAAGGGTGATCAAGTCTTTAATTTGCCAGACGAATAGTCGAAACCAAAACGAATGTATAAATAATCCTTACACAACTACATTAGTATCTCAAGTACAATTTTTATCAATCCTTAAACAAATCCTTAATCAATACCATTCTTACCTTTTGGATATTATCCTAGAGTCGAACCAATCAATCCTCATCTCATTGCAGAGAAGCGCCAGCTTCTCCCCCACGTATCTTAGTCTAGTCTCTGGAAGAATAACAACAATAGCAGCACCGCTCCTTCCAGCCGATCAATTCCAACAAATACAACACAACAAAAAAAAAAGAAAACACAGACAGTATACACCGTCGAACCGACTGACTCAATAACACTGGTCGGACGTACCGAACTGCTCTGATACCACTATGTAACACCCAAATTTCTACCCCAAAAATTTCGATTAAATAAATACAAATATCAGAGTGCAACAATTAAAAGGATATGATTGAGGTGTTACTCAAACATTTTCACAAAACCTTCTTTTATTAAATTAGAATATAAAAGAGTTTACAACAGAATTTCATTAATTCAGCGGAAGACATTTCAATTAGAAAATACATTTTTCAATTAATCTCAACCAGAGAAATACAAATAAAGACACCCCATAACAGACCCTAAGTGTTACGACCAGAGCGGATTTTCCCGACACCATTGGAAGACTCCACTTCCAAACATGTATCAACCTCAACTAATACATGCACGTTATCCATAAGTGGATAACGATAAACCACATAAATAAGGGGTGAGATATCATCCACAATTAATAAAAGGTATGAAAGTACACATATCAGATAAATAAGCACTGAGCATTATCTCACAAGTTGCTACACAAATAATCAAGGCACACATTCGAGCATCCACTACCGGAAGCATCACACGACATTTAGCATAGTAAATCATATTCAATTACAAAGGATATTCTCACATTCCAGGTACATTAACCACTTATCCACACAGGACAAGTATCTCCAAGCACGTAGTCACACTAAGGTAACATACTAAACATATTACATGTAATCTAATTCATACATATTTCTCAGCACTTTGCATGCAAACATAGATAATCTTATCAATTGCATTACATGTACTATTCCATGGGAACAGATGTATTATAAAAAACAAGATCACACCATGTTTAGTTCATCAAGGTATAATCACATACATATTGATGTTCACATTGTTCCTTATATTCATCACCACTCAGGTACAACAAAAATACTTCAAGTATTCATTCCAAACAAAAACATCACATCGAGCATGCATTAACACAGACAATGCATCAATACAAATAAAACACAAAATTATGAAATGAGATCCTAGACCCATATGCATGCGGTACCGATATAACCAATCTGGATTGCTCAGGTTCCGGCTCACCTCCCACCCAGGAAAGTTGTTAACAGAGCCCCACCTCACCATATAGGTGGACCATTCCATCGCAATGGATATGGACTTTATTACCACACATGTCCCACTGACCACTCAGGTCTATGACCACACAGGTCCCACTGACCACTCAGGTCTATGACCACACAGGTCCCACTGACCACTCAGGTCTATTTACCACACAGGATGCACATGAAATGAATAACATATGACTCAATTGTATGAAGTGCATCAACCATTAACCACAAGAGAACTCAAATAAATCCAAACATTATTTGATGGCATTCCCATTTGAAACATCACACAGATCGTTTCCAATTAACTCATGCAATATACCACTCCAAAGAATACGTGCCATTTGATTCACAATCTAATCATAAACAAACATCACATATTGAAAGCCCATTGAATCAAGTACATAATGTTCATTTACCAAATTCAACCAACTATGCTCACAACCAAGCAACTAACACAATTACACGCATTATATCACATAACATGGCATAAGGATCATTTACGGCACACATTCATAGTTCTCACTTATAATGGAAAGCATATCTACAAACTAACAAAATACTTCCAATCCATACTCAACAACATACTATGAAAATTATATAATGGAATCATAATATTAACATACACCATTACTAAGGATACATGTCATATATTCCATATTCTAACCACACATTCATTTACAATTTCACATACATGTATTCCTCATCAATTTAGAAGACACATTTTTGTACACACACATCATTACCTAACAACGAACATAACATAGTGTGAATTCCCATACAAACACAGTACATCACGTCTGATAAGCAACATGCGCAAGTACACAATATCAAAGCAATGCGTCCATCATTAAACTCTAGGATTCACGCCCAGCGGCTACCCACAGAAACATGTCTTAATAGCAGTATAACATTTCCAAAGAACACATGTCATTTAATTCATATTCCAAACATAAACAACCATCACATAAGTGAAAGCTCGTACAATCAATTATGCGATGTTTATTCACATAACCAACCAGTTCAGCCACATTAGTTACAACGAAACAAATCACACATGTATATATAGTACAACACTTAGCATGAATTAATATCACTCAAAACACATACCATGGTTTCACATTTACCACATCAAACAATTAATCATATCCTTCAAGCACTCCCATATGCATTAAAATTACATCATTTAATTATATAACAGAATGAGATATGATTATTACACATCTACACATTCATTCCAAGTCAGGAAGAAAATAAATTAATTCTGGATGATACAGTTCGCGGCGCAAACACTAGTTCACGGCGCCATCTCAGAAAAACTACAGTTTGCGGCGCCAACAGGGGGACGCGGCCCGAACTGTGCGAGGCAGAACTTCTCTGTTACGCTCTGTTACAGCACTTGTCCCAATTTGGGATACTCAATTCAACTCAGCAACAACAGGTATCACATATGAAGTATACAGACACATACATGTTTTCTCACAAACATAAAATCATTAATAAATAGAATCTAATAGAGAGTTAGAGATACATGCTTTTAACTTCTTAATTCATTATTCAAGCTCAATAGGAGCTTCAAGGTACAGCAATGGCATCCTACATCATTTGACAGCAAGATGAAGATAAACACACACCACCCAAACCTAATTCTATGTAAATTCATACCCATAATTAATTGAAGAGAACTCCACCCTTACCTTGGCTAGAGTTCGATTTCTATGGAAACTGAGCTTCTTCTTCCCTCACCCATCCTAGGGTAGCCTCCTCTTCTTAGTTCTCCCTCTCTCTGAGTCTTTCTCCAAAAATTAATCGTAAAATCCTTCTTCTCTCTTTCCCTCTCTTTTATTTTTCTTTCTAACTCTTTTTTAATTGGGTTACTAAGTACACCCCCTTAATTGCTCATACTAACTAGGCCCATCACCAATTCTCATTTTATTTTAATTAAAATATTCTTAATTAATTTAATCCAACTATACATTATATTCCAATTAATTCAATTATTCTAATTAATAATATTAACACTCATTATTTTATTATTCTCGTATTATTATTATTACTATCCCAATGCCCAACCAACTTAAGGGATACCTACCCTTAACCAGCCCCACAAACAGCACAATTAAGATAGTCATCATACACAACCAAATTATAAGAATTTGAGCAAACATAGCACAAGCACCTAACGCGCCAAAATTAATTAATTAAATCAAGAATTATGAAATCGAGGCGTTACAATTGCCTCTCAATCTTTCTGGGTATTTTTTGATGCTATGATAAAATTTGTGATGATATTTTGTTATGTGATAACTTTGTACTTCAAGTTTTTATGTACACAAGTCTTTGAAGCAATTTCCTCAAATTAGGGTTTTGCAGGTTTGATTGTATCGACCAACCTCCAAGGCTTGTATCTACCTCATGGATAGTGATATGATAGTGGTTTTTGAGGCTATGGATTCATCATCAAGTCAATTTCAAATCACTCAACTACATCAAAGATCAATTTTGGCTTATAAGCCATGATTGAAGCAAATTCCCCAAATTGGTCCCTACGAAGGCTTGTTCTAGGGTTTCCAACTTCTTGAGGCCATATATTGGTCATTTCTTGGGATATTGATTCCATTTTATTTATGATGTGCTCTAAAATACTTCAATTTCAAGTGTACCAAATTTCAAGATCAAATTCTAAAGGATAATACCTCAAGCCTTGATGGATTGCTAGGGACCAAAACCCTAATTTTCTCAACTTCTCTAGGTCATAACTTCCTCGTACTTTTCTCAAATGAGGTGGTTCTTTTTTCAAAGTTCATATTTTTCATCCTTTTCAACCTTTTAGTTGAAAGATAAGACCAAAAATGGATGGTTTGAGAAGTGCTAGTTCAAGTTGGTGAATGACTTGTTTTTGAAGAAAACTTGGGTGCCCTAGCTTTTAATTTTGAGTTCTACATGGAATTTCTTCAAAGTAAAAGCTTGTATACCCTTTATAGGTCATATTAAGAGTGTGAAAAAAAGGCCTGAAGAATCATGCACCAAATGGAAAATTCTTGAGATTTAGTGAATTTGACTAGCCATTTTAGGGCATTTGAGCCACCCTGAGGCCAAACCTTCTTCCAAAAGGTTTTGGGCCTTCAAATTAAAATTCCACCATGTATTTTGGGTGTTCTAAGAATCATAACCCCATTTTTTACCCCTACGATTCATTCATATAGGTCATTTATTGCATGTAAACTTATTCAAAAATCCCTAAAAGAGATCACAAACATG